TTATTTAGTGAGCTGAAAGCGGAGCAGGGTTCAATGATAGACATCTTCGGAGGCTTCTTACTTTATTTGCAAAGTCGTGGTGGGTACACAGGCTTGTGTGTTGTGCCCATGGCCGAGGAGGGCCATCTCACGAGGGAGAGAGCTTGTAGGACTAGTGTCTTGCTGCTAGGCCGCTGAGTGACAGAGCGTGTGGGACCAGTGTCCCAATGACTTTGGGCTGGCTAGAGGGCAGCACCTGAGTGCCGCGAAATATGAACTAAGCTGGCAGACAGCATAGGCTGTCTGTGCAGACAGCACAGGCTGTCTACATGAAATCATAGATAAACAAGTGAGGTGTTCAGGTTTTGAGTTGAGGGGGAAGAGGGAGGGGGGAGCTGGCTCGTAACTCAAATGTTGGCTCGTAACTCGAGAGCAAAAAATCGACCCAGGAACGGCACGTATTTAAAAAAACTCGCAAGTTGTGACACTTGTAAGTCAAGGTTCCACTGTATTTATGTATATCTGTGAGACATCGGATAGCGATAAAATCGGAAAGCAATGCGTTCTAGTGTAAAAATATTGGCTCAGCCAACAATGAAAAACCCAGTTAAGGTCATTTGTCCCAAACACATCCACCTGTCCGTCTGGCCTGAGCGCGCCTCAGCTGCCCTGCCTTCAGCTAGTGTGCCATTGTTTACAAGCCAGTGCGGATGGTTCCACGCATACATTCGATAAGTTTTGTATTATTCCATTGTTTTTAGTGCTTGTAACTGCTAAATAAGCTGCCATGGGCCCAAAGAAAGCTTCTAGTGCCAACCCTGTGATAAAAAGGGTGAGAAATACTATCGAACTGAAGAAAGAGATAATTGCAAGGTATGAAAGTGGAGTGCGTGCCTCCAAGGTGGTCAGGTTATATAACAAACCCCAATCAACGATTGCTACTATCTTGACCAACAGAAATGCAATCAAGGAAGCTGTTGCTGCAAAAGGTGCAAGTATGCTTACAAAACAGAGATCACAAATACTCGATGTGGAGAGACTGTTATTGGTGTGGATCAACAACAAACAATTATCAGGAGATAGTGTTTCACAGTCAATTGTATGTGAAAAGGCAAGGCAGTTGTATGATGATTTAATAAAGAAAATGCCTGGAACTAGTGCTCATATTGGTGAATTTAAGGCCAGCAAAGCTTGGTTTGAAAGATTTAAGAATCATAGTGGTACACACAGCGTGATAAGGCATGGTGAGGCTGCCAGTTCTGAGAAAAAAGTGGCTGAAAAATATGTGCAAGAATTCAAGGAGTAACATGACTCACGAAATCGTAATGACACGATTGCAAACAAACCATACCACGAGCGGGGATAGAATCCGCGATCAAAGAGTCTCAAAACTCCAGACCGTTGCATTAGCCACTGGACCAGCTAGCCACAATAAGATTCGTCCAACTAGGTATATTTCTACACCATAGGAAGGTTAGCATAGGCACCACTGTGACCACAAATGCAAGTTTTTACAGACGAATCTCCAGCTAGCGTGGCCGTGACAAACTCTAGCTCAAGTCCCCTCAAAGCCATTAACATGACTCACGAGATCGTAATGACACCATTGCAAACAAACCATACCACGGGCGGGGATAGAACCCGCGATCAGAGAGTCTCAAAACTCCATACGTCGCGTTAGCCGCTGGAGATTCGTCTGTAAAAACTTGCATTTGTGGTCACAGTGGTGCCTATGCTAACCTTCCTATGGTGTAGAAATATACCTAGTTGGATGAATCTTATTGTGGCTAGCTGGTCCAGTGGCTAACGTGACGGTCTGGAGTTTTGAGACTCTCTGATCGCGGGTTCTATCCCCGCCTGTGGTATGGTTTATTCAAGGAGTACATAGACACTGAAAAATTAAAACACCAACAAGTGTTTGTGATGAAACAGGCCTCTTTTGGAAGAAAATGCCAAACAGGACCTACATTACACAGGAGGAAAAAGCACTGCCAAGACACAAGCCTGTAAAAGACAGGCTAACTCTAATGTTTTGTAGTAATGCTAGTGGGGATTGCAAAGTGAAGCCATTACTCATGTATTACTCTGAAACTACCGAGTGTTCAAGAAAAACAGTGTCGTCAAGGCTAATTTGTGTGTGATGTGGAAGGCAAACAGTAAGGCATGGGTCACTAGGGACATTTTCCATGATTGGTTCTATCATGTGTTTGGCCCCACTGTGAAAAAATACCTCCTGGAAAATAAATTGGACCTCAAGTGCCTCCTGGTATTAGACAATGGTCTTGCTCATCCTCCAGACTTGCAAGAGCGAATTGTGGGGGAGTTGAGCTTCATCAAAGTGAAATTTTTGCCTCCTAACGCCACTCCTCTCCTCCAGCCCATGGACCAGCCAGTCATTTCAAATTTCAAAAAACTGTAAACCAAAGCTGTGTTTCAAAAGTGCTTTGAAGTGCCCTCAGACACTGAATTGACACTAAGAGAGTTTTGGAAAGATCACTTTAGTATCCTCAGCTGCATAAACCTTATAGGTAGGGTTTGGGAGGGAGTGACTTGCAAGAATTTGAACTCTGCTTGGAGGAAATTGTGGCCACAATGTGTACAAGAGAGGGATTTTGAAGGGTTTGGGGCTAACCCTGAGGAGCCTATACCAGTTGTGGAATCTATTGTGTCAGTGGGGAAATCCCTGGAGTTGGAGGTTAGTGGGAGGATGTGGATGAGCTGGTGGAGGAAGACGATGAAAAACTAACCACTGATGAGCTGCAAGAGCATCTGCAACAGAAAGAGACCACAACTGAGGAAACTGCTTCAGAGGAGGGGAAAGAGAGGAGGAGGAAGTTGCCTTCTTCAACGATTAAGGACATTTGTACAATGTGAACAAAGGTGCAAGCCTTTATGGATGAACATCACCCTGACACAGCTATTGCAAGCCATGATGGTGACTTTTACAATGACAATGTTGTGGCCCATTTTAGGAACATCTTAAAGGAACTCCAGAAACAGAGCTCTATGGACAGATTTTTGGTGCGACAGAGGTCTAGTGACTGTCAAGTTGTTCCCAGTGGCATTAAAAAACAGAAGGGAAGTAACCCCAGAAAAGGACTTGCTACTCAAACCCCTTATGGAAGGGGATTCCCCTTCCAAACAATAATACACCTCCATCATCTCCCCTCCTCCCTTCTCATTACTCATCAATACATCTTCAATTAAGGTAAGTGTCATTTATTCTTCATGTAGTATTTATTCATGTATCATTGTTTTCTGTGTAGGAAATTGTATATTTCATGTAAAAGAAATTTTTTTTTTAATACTTTTGGGTGTCTGGAACGGATTACAGTGGACCCCCGCTTTACGATCAGCTCCCAATGCGACCAATTATGTAAGTGTATTTATGTAAGTGCATTTGTATGTGTATGTTTGGGGGTCTGAAATGGACTAATCTAATTCACAATATTCCTTATGGGAACAAATTCGTTCAGTAATGGCACCTGAACATACTTCTGGAATGAAATAATATCGTAAGCCGAGGGTCCACTGTAATTGGATTTCCATTATTTCTTATGGGGAAAATTAATTCGGCTAATGATAAAATCGGTTAAGGACAAGCTCTCTGGAACAGATTAAAATCATTACCCGAGGGTCCACGGTACAGACAGTCAGACAGTCAGAGACAGAGGCACCCAAAGTCAATCAGCCAGCCAGCCGGCCAGACAGCCTGCAGCCAGCCAAACACTTATTAAACATTCCAGAATTGTTTCTCTTTACTTAGGGCATAGGTTATAAGACATTCTGGCAGGATGACACTACCAGTGGTACCAAAACTGAAAGGATGTTGCACATAGGTTATTATCGAGGTTTTTTATATTTCCTTGACTACTCGTAGCCCCATCCATCTCAAAGCCATTAAACTCGGGGTCAATGTCACTTTCCTCTTAAAATGAGACTGTTAATACGACATGACATCAGTGAATCCCAGGTGTTTGCCGTACTGTTTGTTCTAGCTGGCGCTCAACTAAACTGGTGTTCCCACAAGGTACTAAGTGGTCCAAGATTTTTTTAATACTGCACACACCGAGTGTTAAGACCCATTCTATGCTGACCAGGCATCTCAGGCCAATCATGTCAAATTTGGAGACAGGAAAAATAAAATGTAGATCTATGTTTGGACAGTTATGCGTTAAAAGTCTGATATTTTAAATGAGTGTATTGAGACTACTGGCACCTACATATATTCTGAATCATCTATAAGGATTTAAAAATCAAGTTTCTTCAAGTTAATTATTTTTATGTCTCATTGATCTCTAAATGTACAATGTATCATTTCTTATTTTTATACGTTTAGAGTATCTAGGGTAAATTGGAACCCCCTTTTTTTTCCTGTAGTATATTTCAGTACATTTTTGATGGGTCATGAAAATTTCCTACTCCTGGAGCTCAGCCCTGGGCCAGACTTGTCTGGTGCTTGCATGGTCAACTTGGCTATTGTTGCTAGCAACCCACTGGCCCACATGTTCATCACAGCCTGGCTGATTCAGCCCTTGATGGAAGTACTTGTAGAGTTTCTTCTAAGACTTCTACACTTGTTTCAGCAGTGTTTCTCATATCTTCTGGCAAGAGGCTGAATGGTTTGGGAAAACTGATGCCAATATAATGTTCTCTTAATGTGCCTATGGTGCCCCCATTGGGTTCGTTTTACTAGGTCCTCTAGTACCTTCCACATATTATGCATCTCTCTCCTCTCCTCCAGTGATTATATACACATTTAGGACTGAACAAAGCCTCAATCCTGAAAAAACTCAAAGCAAGAGCACAAACAATGAACGATGTCACCATTTCCCTAGTTTTAAAAGTTCTCATTATCTACCCCCATTATTTTCCTGGTTTTTGTGACATCTGCCTTATTGTGGGCTAAAAAAGAAAAAAAAAAACAAAGAGCAGCTGACATTATTACACCTATGGCTTTCACAATTCAGAAAATGTAAAGCAAGAATGAGCTCTGATAACTACAAACTAAGATACATTACCTTGAAAGATACTAATATAGTCTCTCTTTATTTTCTCACATCCCATCTCAATAAGCATTTGGAGGGGAACAAGACCTGATAGGTTAGGAAATGCTTCATGGCCTTGCATCAAATTACGTGACAGACTGCCAACCTGAGGAGAATTAATAGAATTTTTAGTTGACAAAATGTGGTATGGTTACTTTACAATATTCATATTAATAATCAGCAGCTACCCTGGGAGGTAATAACAGCAGCCACCCTGGGAGGTACTACTGTCCTGCCAAGTGAGTGTGAAATAGAAACCTGTAAATGTTTTACATGATGGTAAGATTACGGGTGTCCCTCTTTTCTGTGTCATAAACACGCTGGATAACAGGTATATTTTGCTACTTCTACTTACACTTAGGTCACACTACACAGGCATTCACATGTATATTTATACATACACACATCTAGAGTTTTCTTTTTCTTAATAGTTCTTATTCTTCTTTATTTCCTCTATTCTCTATGAGGAAATGGAAAATAATCTTTCCTCTGTAAGCCATGCATGTCGTATTAGATGACTAAAATGCCGGGAGCAATGGGCTAGTAACCCCTTCTCTTGTAGAAAATACTAAAAAAAGAGAAGAATTTTTTTTATAAAACTGGGATGCTTGAATGTGCGTGGATGTACTGCAGATGATAAGAAAGACGATTGCTAATGTTATGAATGAAAAGAAGTTGGATGTCCTAGCTCTAAGCAAAACAAAGCTGAAGGGGAAAGGCAAATTTCAGTGGGGAGAGATGAACGGGATTAAGTCAGGAGTACCTGAGAGAGTTAGAGCTAAGGAAGGGGTAGCAATAATGTTGAAGGAACAGTTATGGAAAGAGAAGAGGGAACATAAATGTATAAATTCAAGGATTTTCTGGATTAAAATAAGGGTCAGATGCAAAAAGTGGGTCATAATAAGTGTGTATGCACCTGGAGAAGAGAGGAGTGTAGAGGAGACAGAGATATTTTGTGTAGAAACTTTTGAACTAAGTGAGAGTGTAATTATGGTAGGGGACCTAAATGCTAAAGTAGGAAAAACATTTAGAGGGTGTGGTAGGTAAGTTTGGGGTGCCAAGCGTAAATGATAATGGGGGCCCTTTGACTGAATTTTGTATAAAAAGGGGTTTGGTTATAGGTAATATATATTTTAAGAAAAAGAGGATAAATAAGTATACAAGATATGATGAAGGGCATCATGACAGTAGTTAGTTGGACTATGTATTGGTAGATAAAAGAATGTTGAGTAGACTCCAGGATTTGTGTGTTTATTGAGGGGCCACAGATAAATTGGATCACTTTTTTGTAGTAGTCTACAGTGAGAGTAAAAGGTAGATGGTATACGAGGAAAATAGAAGCAGCCAGTAAGAGATGAAGGTTTATAAACTAGAGGAGGCGGCAATTAGTGTAAGATATAAACAACTATTGGAGGATAGATGGGCTAGTGAGAGTACAGGTAATGGGGTCGAAGATATATGGGGGTAGATTTCAGAATGTAGTGTTAGTGTGTTCAGCAGAAGTTTGCAGTTACAGGAAAGTGGGTGCGGCAGGAAAAGAAGAGTGATTGAAGGAATGATGTAAAGAGAGTAGTAAGGGAGAAAAAGTTAGCATATGAAAGATTTTTACAAAGTAGAAGTGATGCAAGGAGAGAATAGTATATGGAGAGAAAAAGAGAGAGGTTAAGAGAATAGTGAAGCAATGTAAAAAGAGAGCAAATGAGAGAGTAAGATGTTATCAACAAATTTTGTTGATAATAAGAAAAAGTTTAGGAGTGAAGTTAATAAGTTGAGAAAGCCTAGGGAACAAATGGATTTGATAGTTAAAAATAGGAGAGGAGAGTTAAGAGGTATCGGGAAGATGGGAATATTTTGAGGAACTATTAAATGTTGATGAATATAGGGAAGCTGTGATTTTTGTGTATATGGAAAGGAGGAAAAACATCTTGTAGAAGTGAGGAAGAGCCAGTTGTGAATGTTGGGGAAGTTTGTGAGGCAGTGGGTTAAATGAAAGGGGGTAAGGCAGCTGGGATTGACAGGAGAAAGATAGAAATGTTAAAAGCAGGTGGATATATAGTTTTAGAGTGGTTGGTGCTTTTATTTAATAAATGTAAGGAAGAGGGTAAGGTACCTAGGGATTGGCAGAGAGCATGCATAGTTCCTTTGTATAAAGGCAAAGGGGACAAAAAATTTGCAAAAATTATAGGGAAATAAGCCTGTTGAAATAAGCCTGACAAGAGTAGGATAGCAGATGAAGGAGGCTTTAGGAAAGGTAGGGAGTGTGTAGACCAAGTGTTTACAGTGAACAGTATGCAGATAAGGTTAAAGAGGTTTTTATGGCATTTATGGATTTGGAAAAGACACGACAGGGTGGAAAGAGGAGCAATGTCGGAGATGTTGCAGGTGTATGGAATAGGGGGTAGGTTACTGAAAGCAGTGAAGAGTTTCTACGAGGATAGTGAGGCTCAGGTTAAAGAATGTAGGAGAGAGAGGGAGATTATATCCCAGCAAAAGTAGGCCTTAGACAAGGATGTGTGATGTCACCATGGTTGTTCAATATACAGTGGAACCTTGACTTACGAGTTTAATCCATTCTGTGACCTAGCTCGTAACTCAATTTACTTATACATTAAATTAATTTTCCTCATTTAAATCCATTCCTGGACTCTGGAGACTAAGAAAAACTACTTGAATATGATAATTTATCAACTGTACGGCTTATTTATCTATCACAATTCATCTAATATAACATAATAAACAATATAATTAACACAGAAACATGATAAATACTCTAGAATGAATAAAATAGGCCATAATATGGTAGCAAAGGCAGCAACAGAAGAGTCCGCCATGTCTGTTCAACACTGACTATAGTATCTTCCCATGCTCTTACTGTAAGAGAAAACGGAGTATTTCTGAGGCTAACTGCAGTGGATCACTAGTTTTCTAAGGAAAACACTGAAAATGTAATTATAAATAAGAAATACCATATAAAAACTGTTTATATGAAGTGTATATGTACTTACACACTTGGAGCAGAGATGATGGGGGAGGTCGAGGGTAGAGGGATGTTGAGGGTGGGGATGAGGGTGGGGGACGTTGAGGGGGCAGCGTATGATGTATTGCCTGATTAACCCTTTGACTGTTTACACCGTATATATACGTCTTATGTGCCACTGTTTCCGACGTATTTATACGTGCCACTGTTTCTGACGTATTTATACGCATAAATTCTAGCAGCTTCAAATCAAGCAGGAGAAAGCTGGTAGGCCCACATGTGAGAGAATGGATCTCCATGGTCAGTGTGCACCATATAAAAAAAAAATCGGGGAGCCAGTGGTGCATTGTGGGAGTGCCATTTCAGCATGCTTAGCGGTAAGAAATATGTGACTCTCCCAGCAAATCTGGGACTCTTCTCTTCCCAAGTGATGCTCTAACACAGATGGAAGTGTCAGTGAAGATCAATTTCATGATTTCCAGGAGTTTGAGACCAAAAGCAATGGAGGAGGAAGAGGAGGAGGAGGAAGAGGAGGAGGAAGAGGAATAGGAGGAGGAGGAATAGGAAGAGGAGGAAGAGGAAGAGGAAGAGAAGAGGAAGAGAAGAGGAGGAGGAGGAGGAAGAAGAGGAGGAAGAAGAGGAGGAAGAAGAGGAGGAAGAAGAGGAGGAAGAAGAGGAGGAAGAAGAAGAGGAAGAAGAGAAGAGGAAGAAAAGAAGAGGAAGAAGAAGAAGAGGAAGAAGAAGAAGAGGAAGAAGAAGAGGAAGAAGAAGAAGAGGAAGAAGAAGAGGAAGAAGAAGAAGAGGAAGAAGAAGAAGAGGAAGAAGAAGAGGAGGAAGAAGAAGAAGAGAGAGGAAGAAGAAGAAGAGGAAGAAGAAGAAGAGGAAGAAGAAGAAGAGGAAGAAGAAGAGGAAGAAGAAGAAGAGGAAGAAGAAGAAGAGGAAGAAGAAGTTGTAATAATATTGTTCCCTTGAAGCAAGAAAAAAAAAAGTCCACCCCATAACAGTGACAAGATAAGGGGAGATAACATCTGATAAGAGCTGACGTTTGATGAGCGTAAACGAGGGTGGGGGGAGGGTGCAGCTGATAAGAAAAGATTAGATGACCATCGCCCTCCCTTTGTTTTTGCTGGTACACAAACATTTCTGTCTGTCTATTTGTCTGTATGCCAACCTCCCTGTCTATCCTTCTAGCTCTCTGTCTCAGAGAGAGCCACAAGACTGTGTCATCATCACGTTTACTCGCATCCTCAAGCAGAGTATAGCACTTTGTCTGGATTTTTTGGGTTATCCTAGGTAATTTACACTATGTATACTTGTATTTATGTGTACCTGTGAGACAGAGATAGACAGACAGATTGAAAGAGATAGAATGAGGGAGAAAGATAATTAGAATGGAGGGGAAGCAGCATCCAACCCCATTGCTTCGACAGGCGGTAGTGGGAGTGAGTAATGAGATAATATGCCATTTTGAAAGCTGCCGACTCCTGACTCAAAACAATTATAAGCCACACACTCACACACAAGACAAGCTTGATGAATGAAAATAATAGCAGTTTTCTGAAAGTATCCAGTGACTATATATGTGTATATATATTATAGAAACCAGAAGGAAGGAAGAATGGAAGGCAGGAATGAAGGAAGGACGAGATGAAAGGAAGGAAAAAAGTAAGGAAAGATGAAAGAATGTAGGAAGGAAGGTAGGAAAGGAATGCAGGAAGGTAGGAAGGTAGGTAGGAAAGGAATGCAGGAAGGTAGGAAAGGAATGCAGGAAGGTAGGAAAGAAGGCAGGAAGGTAGGAAAGGAATGCAGGAAGGTAGGAAATGAATGCAGGAAGGAAGGAAATGAATGCAGGAAGGAAGGAATGATGACACATGACCATTTACCTAGGATAACTACATTGGCAGTTTGGAGGGATATGTTGTGTATCTTTATACGTATATGCTTCTAAACTGTTGTATTCTGAGCACCTCTGCAAAAGCAGTGATAATGTGTGAGTGTGGTGTAAGTGTTGAATGATGATGAAAGTATTTTCTTTTTGGGGATTTTCTTTCTTTTTTGGGTCACCCTGCCTCGGTGGGAGACGACCGACTTGTTGAAAAAAAAAAAAAAAAAAAAAACTACATAACACA